GCTGGTTTTGCAGAGAACCAGGGATCCGATTCTAGCACCCATGTCGAGTGGCTCACACCTGCCTGTAACTCCAGCTCTGGGGGATCCAGCATTCCCTTCTGACCTCTCCATGGGTGCATGTGCGCGTGGGTGCGTGGGAGCACACACACACACACGCACACGCACACGCACACGCGCACACTCATATGTGACACACACACATGCACATAAAAAATCTTTTAAAAATATGTAAGTGGGCATGGGATCCAAATAATCATCTTTTTCAAAGGACATATATAGATGACCGCGTGGATAAATGCTTAGTGCTGTAAGTCATCTGCTCTTAAGGGCACACCTTCAGCGTCCTAACTTGTTTCTCCCCAGGCTATGTCTCTTAAGGTTCCACCATATTCCAGTCACACCAGAGGCTAGCCATTAGTCAAATCCTTTAACACTGTCTTTTGAAGACATTCCAGATCCCAGCTGTAGCAGCAATATCACCTGCTAGGTTTGGGCACCTACCAGTAAGTCTGGTGAAGTACTTAACAAATGAAAGTTGTCCTTTTTCATAATGTTACACATTTAGAATTGAGTTGCTTGAATGTGTTTGGGGAGAGTAAGAACAGACTTCAGGTTTATAGATGGGATTACATTTAAAGGTAAGGAGACCAGAGAGGTTACACTGGTTAAAAGCATGTGCTGTTGCTGAGGGCTAGAATTTGGTCCTCACATTAGGCAGCTCAGCCAACTCTGACCTCAGCTGTAAGGGATCTGATACTTGGGTCTCCACAGGTGCCTACAGTCCCATGCATATAATTCTTCCATACACATAATTTTTCAAATGATAAGAAATCTTTAAAAGTTTTGTTGGTTTTCTTATCGAGACAGTCCCCCCATCCTACCCACCCCCCACACCCTGGCAGTCTTGGAGCTTGCTATGTAGAGAAGGCTGGCCCTGAACTCACAGAGATCTGTCTGCCTCTGCCTCCCAAGTGCTGGGATTAAAGGCGTGTGCCACCAATGCCCAGCTAAGGGTGTTTTTTTTTACTTTTATATGAAGACTATCATAGGAGTGCTTTACTCCTGATACATTGTATTGAGACTTAGAAGTCTCCATAGTTGAAAGGACAATTTCTTGGTTTTTAACTCTGATTTTTTTACTGCATGAGCCCTGTTTCAGGTGGTGTTAAGCCCAATGATGATCTCATATGAAATGAAAACTGATTAAGTCATTCTGGGCCTTCAAGAGACCTCTGCAGCAGGGCCCAGGGACTCCCCCCAAGAGAAGACCCACCAGCTCCTAGTTCTCTCATCTGCCTGCATCTCTCCTTCCCTGAAACTTTCTTCTCCCTACTGTATGAGTCTTCTCTTCCACATAGCCCCTGCCTTCCTTTTGCATGCTCCTGGCCCACCCTGACTCTCATAGACTTGCTATACCTTGTGACTTTTAACCTGACATCACTGCCATCTGCCTCGGCATCTCACTGCCCATGTAACCCTCCAAGTGTATGAGTTATAAAGACAGTGCTTTGGGGCCTGGAAACCTCATAGACCGGTGGCTGTTTACCCCATCCTGGCTACTGGGTAGGAGAGCTGAGTGATGTCTGCAAGACCTCACAGCCTGGACCTTCATTTTCAGTAGGATACATGTGTACATAGAAATATGGGTGTGAAATGTGTATGTCAGCAATAGGCTGGGACCCAGGAGGAGCATTCTTCACAGAAGTAGAACCAATAGAAGACTATAATTGACAATGGCATTATTTCATGATGGGCCCAGCATCCTTTTCAGGATAGGTATGACATCTGAGGCTTGTTCAGATGAGTATAGAAGTCCCACTGTCTGTGACTAGTAAACCCACTGGAGAGCCAGAAGTGAATGGATTCAATGCAAGGCTCCAGACTGAGAACTGGCAGCTTCAGTGCCTCAGGGCAGGAGGAGACAAATGTTCTCTTGTAAGAAGAGAGCTTGAGACAGGCATGGTGTCGCACGCCTTTAATCCCAGTACCAGGGAGGCAGAGGCAGGTGATCTCTGTAGCCTTCTTTTTCTATTGGTTCCTTGTCAACTAGGATTCCTCCAACAAGAGCAGAGGTGGATCACCTTTACTCTACCTGCCTATTAGGATAACCTCTTCTAAAACACTAACAGATGTTGACTACGGTGGTTTGAGTAGATGTTCCTGAGTCTTGAGCATTTGAACACCTGATCCCCAGTTGGTGGCTTTGTTTGTGGCAGCTTAGCACGTGTGGCCTTGTTGGAGAAGGTACATCACAGAGAACAGACTTTGAGGGAAAGGCCTCATCTACAACTAGTTTGTTCGTCATGTTTGTAGTGCAAGATGCCAAGATGTGAGCTCTCAGCTCTGCCCCGGCTGCCATGCCTGCCTCTGCTCCACCATCATGGACTCTAACCCTTGGAGCCGTAAGCCCAAGTAAGCTCTTGTTCCTATAAGTTGCCTTGGTCCTAGTATTTTATCACGGCAACCAAAAAGTAACTAATACAACAGTTATCTGGGAATCACTTACTTGCCCAGTCAAGTCGACTGAGCTACATTAAAGTAGCCATCACAAGTATAAAGGTGGGTGTCTTAGTCCCTATTCTATTGCTATGAAGAGGCACTGTGACAAGACAACTCTTATAAAAGAAAACATTTTATTGGAGGCTTGTTTACAGTTCCAGAGGTTTAGTGCATGTCCATCATGGCAAGGAGCATAGTGGCATACACAGTGCTGTAGCAGTAGCTGAGAGCTACATCATGATCTGCAGGCAGAGACAGACTCTGGGCTTGGCATGGGCTTTTGAAACCTTAAAGCTTTCCCCAGGGACACACTTCCTCCAACACAGTCACACCTCCTAATCTTTTTTTTCCTTTTGTTTTTCTTTTTTGTTTTTGTTTTTGTTTTTTCCTTTTGTTTTTCTGAGACAGGGTTTCTCTGTGTAGTCCTGGCTGTCCTGGAACTCAGAGATCTTCTGCCTCTACCTCCCAAGTGCCTCCGATTAAAGGAGTGCCCAACCACTGCAGGGCTCCTCCTAATCCTTCTAAGTAGTGCCACTCCCTGGTGACTAAGCATTCAAATATATGAACCCATGGGGGCCATGCTTACCCAAACACCACAGTGGGGAGCTGGAGAGATGAGTCAGCAGTTAACCGTGCTCGCTTCTCTTCTAGGTATTTGAGCTCAGTTCCCAGCAGTGGAGTCAGGCAGCTCAGGACTACCTGTTTCTCCAGCTTCAGGGATCTGACGCCCTCTTCTGGCCTCGGTGGGCAGCTGCACTGAAGTCCATATAGCCACAAATAGACACATACACATCCACATAATTAAAAAAATCTCTGCCTGGTGGTGCAAGCCTTTAATCCCAGCACTCAGGAGGCAGAGGCAGGCGGATCTCTGTGAGTTTGAGGCCAGCCTGGTCTATAAAGCGAGTTCCAGAACAGCCAGGGCTACACAGAGAAACCCTGTCTCAGGAAAAAGAAAAGTGTGTGTGTTTGTCTTGGTGGTGGTGGGGTGGATATAAAAGGAGCAAGCCCAGATCTATTCTGTGGTCTAGCACTTAAACATGTAGGGAAAAATCAATTGATACAGTGTCCTATAATAATAGACTTAAAACACATCCTCGTTATAAACCTGGAATCTTATTAATTATACTCTAGGAGGCATAGCTATACACCTAAATGCAAAGTTGTGTCTAAAGGAAATTAAGTCATTCAGTCCTTATGATAGCACCATTGATGCTTTTATTATCATACTTCACACATGAGGAGATTGAAGGGCAGGGAGGTAGCCTACCCTGGGTCACACAGTGGATAAACTGCCGTGGGGCTGACCAGGCAGCCTGGTTCAGACAGCCCCGCATTACGTTTCACAGCTTCTGCTTGCCCAAGCAGAATCATGGCTTTCTGCAGCCTTCGTCTAACATTCCTTGGTAAGAGAAATGAGCAGGAGGCACATTCAGACTTTTGGTTGCTTTCCTCTTTTCAGTTAATAACATATTGTTAAAATTGTTGCCTTTTTGTTGGCTAACTTTAAAATTTTTTAACTTATGTTCACCTTGATTTTTACTTTATGTCTCCGGATTTTGCCTGCATTGTGTTTGTGCACTACATGTGTGCAATGTCCGTGGAGGCCAGAAGAGGGCACCAGAGATCCTGGGATTGGAGTTACATATTACTGTAAACTGCCATATAGGTGCCAGGGATCAAACCCCAGTTAAGAGCAGCCAGTCTCTTAAGCCCCGAGCCATCTCTCCAGCTCCTGCAGACTCATTTTTTTTAAAGACACAAGAGTGTATAGTGGGAAGAATATAGACTCTAGAGTCTGACAGTTCTAGATTCCAATGCAGATTCAAGCCGTTATCTCTGTGTGACCACTATAGCCTTTCTGATCCTTGATCTGTCATATTGGTAAAATGAAACATTTTAGGAGTACTAGAAAGTGTGTGTAAAGCCTGGTGCTTGTTTGGTAGCAAGACTGTTATTAGGGTTCTCCTGGCAATCACTTACTACCCTTAATTTTCTTTACTGCTATTGAGTGGTACCTCACATGGACTTTCCTCTTTTGGTTTTCTTTTATCCCCCACTCAGGGCCTTGCAAATGCTAAATACAAGCTTTATCACCTGTCCTTACTTCAAGTCAGGTGTTGCAAATACTTTTTTTTTTTGAGACAGGGTTTCTCTGTATTGTTTTGGAGGCTATCCTGGAACTCGGCTCTGTAGACCAGGCTGGCCTTGAACTCACAGAGATCCGACAGCCTCTGCTTCCCAAGTGCTGGGATTAAAGGTGTGCGCCACCAACACCCAGCTCAGGTGTTGCAAATATAAATTCCATATTTCCTCTCTACATCAAGCATTACTGATTACTTAAGTATTGTTGCATGTTGGGCCCAGAATCCTTGTCACATTACTCAGAGCAGTGACTTATAACCAGTGGGAACTGACACAAGAGATGGGTCTGTGTGTTATCTCTCCTTTAGGACCAGATACAGAGTGGCTCACCTAAACTTGTCTTTATTTCCTTTCAGTCTCTTCATCTTTTGACAAGTAAGGTTTGGAACAAGTTGCCTGTGATGACCCTGAATTCTTTCCTTTTTGAGGATGAGAAAGAAGAAAATTCCAAGCCTATTGGTCGTTACCCTGTTCCCTATAAGAAGGACCTGCCCTTTGACATTGTGGAGCTCATGGAGGAGATGGAAAAAACGGTGAGCTACAGCCTGCTTCAGGGCTCAGGGCCAGTGACGCCTGTGTTGGCCGCAGTGTGGCCACCAGCACTGCTGGCCACAGTCCGCCCAAGCTCACCACTGCGTGGCCCCTTCCTGGGTCCAGGTGCCCTACTCCATGTGCTCTTATTCTTGGCTTCTGTGTCTTTACTCTGTTCCTTAGCGACTGAAGCACACTCTGTAGTTCTGTATAGCACTGTAGTGTAGTGCGTATACATAACCAATATACCTCATGCTAGCTGCTAACGTGCGTATACATAACCAGTATACCTCATGCTAGCTGCTAACGTGCGTATACATAACCAGTATACCTCAGCGAGGATGCATGCTAGCTGCTAACGTGATAGGTAGCTTGCCTTTTCCTCTAAAATCAAGCAGAAAAGTGAAAACAAACAACAATCTGAGTCTATTACACGGTTAACCATTATTAATATGTTGATGTTTTCTACTTCCCTGTAAATTTCTTTAATGGAGTTTTGTTATCTTGCATATGTTTCTAGATAAAAACATCATTATTTTTAGTGGTGCTTTTTATGAGGCCAACTGTATAAAGATACTCTATTCATCTCAGCAAGCTTCCACAACTGGACTTGAGCTTGTAACAGACTGCTCATATGTGTATCTATACACGTGTATATATGTTTATCCATAGATCTCCTCGTATATCCATGAATTTCTCTTTGATTGTAGTTTAGTTTTTGTTATATTCCTTTTTCTACCTTAAATAATTTATTTTCCCATTTGTAGAGTAACATTATAAAATCCACAGTATCAAATCAACCTCATTGCTTAAACTAATTCCTTAAAAATTTTGTGAAAACATATTTTAATAAAACTGAACCAAAATAATGTATCTCTGTAATAGCTTCTGTATAAATCAATAATAATTACATGATCTGATTTTTATCTTTGAAGCTTTTGACCCTAATATCCAAGATAAATTCAGTGCTTTAATGTTCTAGGAGCAAGGAACAGCAAAATATGCATGGCAGGAGTCTGGCAGCTCTGCAGCATCTGTGTAGTGAGCTCTGATAAGCAGATTTCAGTAGCTGGGGATTTATTTGACCTAAGTCAGAGAACCTAAATGATAGGTCGACCCAGGTGTCCCAGTCTCTGAGTTTCAGAATGTTAATTACTAAAACCATCATATGCACTGTAGAAGTAACAGTTACACCCTGAAGTGAGGGATGCCTAGGGAGCCAATAACTGTCCCAAAACTGCATCCAACACAGGCATGCCTCGTTGTTGTTGCTCACTCTGTCTCTTCCTTTTCTGCAGACAGGATTTTTACCCAATGTCTTTAAAGTGTTGGCTTACCGGCCCTTGGAATTCAGAGCTTATTTTGCTTATTTCAACGCCATCTATAATAAAGAAACAGGTAAATGAAAAAGCAGTACTAACACGTTCTTGGATAAAGCCTAAATGCTTGCCTTCTGCCTCTAGCCATTCTAACCCAGCCCTAGGTTACTACATCTGGGAGTAGCTCAGCCTCTGGGATATCTCTGGATTCTTGTTTTCTTGTTTGTTTTATTATTAGTGGCAGTCGGTGGGGGAGGGATGACAGAATGAGAATGAATATGTGAGCCTTATTATATATCCTAGCTGACCTAGGACTCATTGTGTAGCCTTGGCTGGTTCTGAACTCACAGCATTCCTCCTACCTCAGCTTGTCAAGTGCTGGGATTATAAGCATACACCACCACATCCAGTAGCAACTCTGGATTTTGAAGCCAATATCTGAATACAGTTTAATGACTATAGTTCTAGAATTTAAATAAATTAAGTAATAATAATCTTTCTTAGGGAATAAAAGTCATCTGTGGTTCTTTATAGCCTCTGAATAAAGTCATGAAATCAAGGACTTATTTCTTAGGATTCAGCTTGGGTTACTACTACCTAGAGTGAAAGTATACATTGGTTTTAATAAGATTTTTTTTCTCTATCTCTCATCTAATAGTTTCCATATGATCTGCTAAGGATTGATAATAATGATTTCCTTCTTTTTGAGGGGGGTAGTTCAAGACAGGGTTCCTCTGTGTAGATCAGGCTGGCCTTGAACTTAAAGAGATCCACCTACCTCTGCTTCCTGAGTGCTGGGATTAAAGTTGTGCAGCACCACTGCCTGTCAATATACTGTTTTCTTCATTTTAGGAACTGCCCTTACTTACAGGCTTATGCTGGCTCATGAATGTCACCAGCAAAAAGAAGTAGCCATTGTTGTCATAGGGTCAGGACATAGGAGTTGCACACAGTACACCCACTTACATCTCACAGGCTGAATTTTGTCCATCACGTTTAGATACAAAGGAGGGTGCGCCCTTATGCTCAGCTGCATTAGGAGATCCTGATTATTAAAAGAAAGGGGGAGTAAAAGATATGGATTGTTTGGTTTTGTTTGTTTGTTGAGATGGTCTCACTCTGAGTCATGTCTGGCCTGGAGCTCACTATGTAGACCAGACTGGTCTTGTAGAGCTCCCCATGCCTCTGTCTCCCTAGTACTACGATTAAACACATACACCATGGTGCCTGGCAAGTGACCAGGGAACAACATATTGGGAGATAGCAAGTCTGTCATGGTGACTCTTCCTGCCTGCCAAGTGCTGGGATTAAAGGCTGCTGCCTGGCCTCTGTGGCTAACTAGTGTGGCTGCTGGGATTAAAGGTGTGTGCCACCACTGCCTGACTTCTTTGGCTAACTAACGTGGCTAGCTTTGTACTCTGATCTTCAGTCAAGCTGTATTGGTTAGCTCATAAACAAAATGTCACCACACTTGGTGTCTTGCATCTCTACTGAGCCTTAACATCTTTCTGCCTTCCCTTCCACACAGCTCCCTGATCCCTGAGGGAAGGGATTTGACAAATATATCCCATTTATGTTTGAGAATTACAGAGTTTCTCACTGTCGGCACACTGTCCAGTTGTGGGCCTCTGAATTAGTTCCCATCTGCTGTAGGAGGAAGCTTCTGATTACGGCTGAGTGAGACCCTGATCCTCGAGCATAGCAGAAATGTCCCTTAGGAGTCACTTTATTATTACATTGCTTTAGCAGAACAGTAGTATGAGGTTTTCTTCTTGGTTAGTGCTGTATCTAGTGTTAGGTTCTTGGCTGCCCGAGCAGTGCCAGGCATGGGTCCATCTCATAGAGTGGGTGGTTACTCCCTCAGTTTCTGTACCACTATTGCACCTGGGTGTTGTACAGACAGGTCAGCATTGTAGCCTTAAGGGTTTGTAGCTGGCTTGGTTACCTTTCCCCTCTGCTAGTATGAGAGGTGCCTTCCAGTACCATGAACACTGGACAGTAGGGGTGGAAGCTTTAGCTAGGCATTACCACAACTTCTTCATGTTCAATAAGATATGTAGGCGTTGTCTTCAGCAATAGGGCCTTACCAGCAGTTTCACATATACTCTTTTTGTTTTGTTTTGTTTTTTGAGATAGGGTTTCTCTGTGTAGCCTATGCTGAAACTCACTCTGTAGACCAGGCTGGCCTGGAACTCTGCCTCCTGAGTGATGGGATTAAAGACATGTGTTACTACCACCGGGCTCACATATGCTCTTGAGAGGAGAAACACTATAAAAAAAGAACAAGTTGATTTTAGGAAGAGTCGAGTGATATGAAGACAACAAGGAAGGAGAATGAATGTATAAATAAGGATAGGCAAGTCGATAGATGGGCAGAGTTTTGATAAAACATGCCCAGGCCATATAGGTTCTGTTTGGGGTTTCTAGCTGGGTCTCCTTTTCTTTTCCTCTCCAGGTCGGCTCAGCAAAGCTGACAAGGAACTCATCATTATAGTGATCAGCCTGGATGTGAGGTGTCTATACAGTGTTGTTGTCCACAGTGCCCTATACAGGCTCTACTCCAAGAACCCAGTACTCTCTGAGCAGGTGGGTGCCCACCTCTCCTGTGTCAGTTTTAGGGCCTCTTTGTACCTGGAAAGGGGGCAAAACCCATGTCATTATATGGTGCGGGGCATAATCATACACTTAAAATTCTTCCCACTGTGTGAGTTTGTTTCTAGATCCCATCACTTCCCTGCTGGATACATGTGATTTGGAGGTAGCAAGCAACTGAACCTCCCAGCTTTATGCCAGATGTACTGGTTACTTGACCTATATTCTCTTTTCTCTGAAGTGAGTCTTACTTTAACCATTTTATACTATTCCATTGTAAGATGACTTATTTCAAAATTTTTGTTTGTTTGTTTTTTGTTTTTCCAAGATAGGGTTTCTCTGTGGGACTGTCCTGGCTGTCTTTGAACTCACTTTGTAGACCAGGCTGGTCTTGAACTCACTGAGATCCACCTGCCTCTCCCTCCCAAGTCTAGGATTAAAAGCTTGTACCACCACCACCTGGGAAAAGCTGTTCTTTTTTTGCCATGCTGTACTGCTTGCAGTTTCCAGTGTTAAATGATACACCCACTGATTACTCTAAGAGGAACAAAGTCAGTTTATTAGCTTTTCTTTTATTTTTTTAGTGCTGGTGTCAGGCTTTTTAGGCCAGTCAGTTTTATCTTTCTGGAATGGCCTCTGCTCTTTCTTGTCACCAAATTTATTGTTAAGTTGGTCCTGTTTCCCCAGTCAGTGACTTAGTTTTGTCCTTAATTCATCTCAAATCAGGCTTTGGCCATCAGAGGTTATCATAATTATTCAGAGTATGAGCAAAAGATAGAAACAGCCAATGAGGATTTGCCACCAAGCTCCCCCAGTTCTAATTTCTACCCCTACAGTCTTCTCTCCTGACCTACCTGGGTGCAGATTGTGTTGCTAGCCTTCTGGTAACTTCCACATCAGCCCCTTTGTCCTGCACAGTGCCTCCTCCAGTCAGCTGCTCCTTGTTCATTTAGGCTTTGTCAGGCCTCGCCTTCTGGTTACCGTTAAGCATGTAGTCATACTGTGGTTGCTAAGTTGGTCTAATATCTTTAGTGTTTAGTGGTTTCCAGTATTTTATGCAGCAGAAAAAAATGATTATTAGTGCAATCTGTGGGACCTCATGTACTTGGGTCCTGACCCCAGCTCTGCCATGATGTACGAATGTGACCTTAGGGAAATTCTTTGCTTCTTTGAACTGCAGTTTCCTCTTAATAATACAAATACTGCTGCTCAGAGAATACGATAATAAATATGAAATGCCAAACACATTCTTAAGGCATCCATGGATAAATGTGAGGGTCTTCTTTTTGTTTGCTTTGGGATTTAGCTTTGTGAGACAGTCTCTTGTGCTGTAGCCCAGGGTGGCTTGGGATTCACTGTGTAGCCTAGGTAGACTCATACTCTCAGGAAGCCTCCTGCTGCAGCATGCGCCACCATACTTGGGTAAATAGAAACTATTAATTTCACAAATACTGTGTTTTGGTTGGGCATCACTAGGGATAGATTAAGTCATGGATATTTAGAGGGAAAGGGAGGATTTGTTTGTTTATTTTTAAGAGACACAGTCTTACTTTTTTGCCCAGACTTTTACTAAACTGAATTAAGCAATCCTCCTGTCTAGCTTTGGGTAGAAGAGATTGCCACTGTGTCTAGGTAGAAAAAAAAGAGTTGTTTCCTTTTTTAAAGTTAGGGCATGCATGCAAGTCCACACGAGTATGTGTGCACCAACCACATGCACGCAGGGATCCTCAGAGGCTGGAAGAGGGCGTTGGATCCCCTGGAACTGGGGTTACTGCAAGTGTGAGCCCACATGTGGGTGCTGGACCCTGAATCTGGGTCCTGGGAAAGAGCAGTGAATGCTCTTAACTGTTGAGTCATAGTTCAAGCCTGAAAATAAAGAGGGTTTTGAAGCTAGAACAAGCAAGAAGACTTTTAAAAAACTTCTATTTAGGTTTGTGTGTGCTTTGCCTACATGTATGTGTACCATATGTGTGCTTGGTGCCCTCGGAGGATGGAAGAGGCTCAGATCTCCTGAAATTGGAGTTACAGAACTAAATCTAGATCCTCTTCAAGAGCAAGTACTCCTAACCGATGAGGCATCTTTCTGGTCCTGCAAAAACACTAAACATGGCTTTGAACTAGATTTCCAGGTTTATTATATTGCATTAGGCTTGACCAAGATATTTATCTTTTTGGCCTGACTTTGCTTTATTCTAGAATAATCTTGAGAGCCTTTGCCCATTGATTTCATTAGACCTTGGATTATATTCGCTGTATTGTTTTTTTTTAATATTTTATTTATTTATTGTGTATACACCCTTCTGCCTGCATGCCAGCAGAGGGCACCAGATCTCATTCAAGGTGGTTGTGAGCCACCATGTGGTTGCCGGGAATTGAACTCAGGACCTTTGGAAGAACGGTCAGTGTTCTTAACCGCTGATCCATCTCTCCAGCCCCATATTAGCTGTATTGTAATGGACTAAGCTTCGATTTTGTGTTTCATTACAGGTCTGTATAAACTGGAGAAAGTCTGACCTCCCCCCTCGAGAAAAAGCAATGGTAGAGTTTGCACTTGCTATTTCCCAAGCTGATGACATAACAGATGACCATTTCAAAAAGCTTGAAATGCATGGCTTCAATAGAGACGATGCCTGGGACATAGCTACCATTACAGCTTTCTATGCTATGGCCAACCGCCTTATTCATTTTATTGACATCACTCCTAACAAGGGGTACTATTCACTGGGCAGAAACAATGATAATAAACAGACAGAGAATGAATTCACTGCTCCAAAAGTATAAAAGCCTGACAGGAAAGGCCAGTACTGATTATTTCAGTTATGTTGTATTAGAAGACAGCAGTTGGATAGCAATTACAAATAAATACAAAAACATCTAGTTATTGGCTAGGGAAAAAATTTTGGTTCCCACCTACCTGATGAAGTCCTTGCATGTCTAGGGACATGTTATACTTGGGGCTTGGGAACATAGTTCAGAAAAATCTTTGTTGATTATTTACTCCCATTGTGATCCAAAAGGACTAAGGCAAAGGAGTTCTGATGATGCTTTAAATGTGAGTAGACATCTAATTAAATTTTGGCTACTAAAGTTGAAAACGTTTAGTTTTCTACACAGTATTACCTAGATATTGGCCAATATAGACTGATTTGTGTCAATTCCTTATTAATATGGCTGTATGTATAGATTCTCAAAGGTAGGGACAACAGGAACAGTCACAGCTAAATTTTAGTTCTATTTTTAGTGCCTTCTCAATTTTTTTTACTGATTTTATGGAATTTTAGTCTTACATAATATTCTCTTTTTTGTTTTGTTTTGTTTTTTTGTTTTTCGAGACAGGGTTTCTCTGTATTGTTTTGGAGGCTGTCCTGGAACTAGCTCTGTAGACCAGGCTGGCCTCAAACTCACAGAGATCTGCCTGCCTCTGCCTCCCAAGTGCTGGGATTAAAGGTGTGCGCCACCAACACCCGGCTCATAATATGCTCTTATTTTAGGTTTTATTAAAATGTTTGGAATAAACGAGTATTCACATATTAAATACAAATGTTTTAAAAACCAGGCATTACTATATTACTTATTCTCTCTGTTACCACTACTGCCTTAATTTGTGTCAGTGTTTTGTCTTGTCTTCTCCAGGGGTTACAGTCAGGGCTACACACATGCTAGGCAAGTGTACCACTGAACCACCGCCCGGCAAGAACAGCTCTTTTTATTATTATTATTATTATTACTATTTTTTTTTTGGTTTTACGAGACAGGGTTTCTCTGTATTGTTTTGGAGGCTGTCGGTCCACCCTGGCCTCGAACTCACAGAGATCCGCCTGCCTCTGCCTCCCGAGTGCTGGGATTAAAGGTGTGCGCCACCACCACCCGGCGAGAACAGCTCTTAAATGGCTTTGGGACCTTGGTATGTTTTTCATGTTGAACTCCTGAAGTGTGAAATCTGGTTATCTGGAGCCAATACAAACTAAATGAAGACTTACTGATTTTCTGCTGAAAGTTTAACCATTGACTATCCAATAACCATCCTCCAGATGTCCTGCAGGTCTATCTTCACAGGCTAATATCGCCCTCCCGGTTTACCATCACAGCCACCAGATGTGAACCTCCTACAACTCTGCCCTCAATAAGACCTAGACAGTTTTTCAGATCCTATGTCTGTCTGCTGTTCCTCTTACCTCAAGCTCTCCTCTTTGAGGACTAAGATTCCCTACACTGAAAACTTGCATTCCCGGTTAATGCTTTCCCTGAAAACAGGTTTATTTGCACTCAGAAGCAGCCGTGAGAAAGACCTATCCTTGGGGGTCCTTAGTGCAGTGCTCAGCAGATGTAGTATGAGCAAGACTCACAGTAGACCTTGCTTTGTGGGGTTGAATTGATTCAGCTCTCCAGCTCCGCTCAGTTCCTTACTCCTAGCTGCATATACGTTCTTTTTGCGGGGAAGAGAAGGCTCTAACATTGATTCTTACCTGACTGTGCAGTAGCCGAGATTTGGGCAGAGATTTATGACACCAATAGGTTCCTTTATTCTAGGCACCGTACAGCCCATTGATTTTCACGTGCCAATGTTCTTGACTCTTTAGACTTCTAGGTTGAGTAGGCAGTGCGCCATGAGATTTACGATGTGACCTACATATAATACAGTAATACACCCAGCCCCTTCACCCCGCCCAGTCTCTGTGTAAAGACAACAGTACGTAAGGCTGGTCGGGCGCACAGCCAGTCAGTGCTCACTGACAGCTGCGAGCGGACGCTCCGCTGCCTGTAGCTGGTCATGTGCTGGTCATTGCTCACAGAGGGCTACTCGCTCCTGACCTCACAGTCCTCCTGGGCTGGGGCGCTCCCGACTCGGCGGTGTCCCTGATTTTAGGTCCCCGACGGAGGGCAGCCTAGCGGTGACCCGGGTTTCCCAGCCGGCGGGTTTAGGACGCGGCACCCGGAAGTGGCGACTGGAGCGGGAGCGCTGAGTTGTCGGGCGGCGGGACAGCGGCCCGGAATAGGGGGCGGGGGCGTTGGTCATGTTTCCCTTCGGGCCCCACAGCCCGGGCGGGGACGGGGCGGCTGGAGCCGAGGAGCCGCCGCCTCTCGGAGGGCCGGCGGCAGCTTCCAGACCGCCCTCTCCAGCTCCGCGGCCGGCGCCTCCGCAGCAGGGAGCTGACGCGGCCCCTCCCCCGCCGGCAGCCCGGAGCCCTCGCCTCCCGGGCGGCCCCGCACTGTCCCCGGCCGAGTGCGCCGGGGAGCTCGTGGCCGCCGGAGCTCTGGAGTTGTCCGCCGCCGCGCACACGGAGCTGTCACCGTCCTCCTCGCCGCGCAGGCGCTCGAGGCCGGACTGCAGGGCGGGCAACCGGAGCCGGCAGGGCCTCAGCGCGGGCCCGAGCGGCCCCGGCGCCAGACTGTTCGGGTGGCTGAGAGAGCGAAGCCTCGGCCGCGGGCTGTTCGTGGACCCCGCGCGGGACAATTTCCGCACGATGACGAACCTGTACGGTTCCATCCACCCCGCAGACTCCGTGTACCTCAGCACCCGCACCCACGGTGCCGTCTTCAACCTCGAGTATTCGCCCGACGGGTAAGCGCCTGCGCCTCGGCCGCCCCTCGCTTGCTCGCTCGCTCGCTCGGCTCAGGTCGGCTGGCGGCTGTGCCCCGGGTACCTCCTGAGGCGTTGGTCTGTCGCCCGGAGCTCGCGCTGCCTGCCGAGGTCGGCAGACCCAGTGCTGCTCTTCGGGTCCTGGAGGCTCGGTGAAAGAAATGCCTTAAGCCGCCGCGGCGCGTCTTTCAGAGCCGGTCCACAAGTAGGACTCTGGTCACAGTAGGTGCTCAGTGAATATCCTTTAAATAAACGCCCACCGTTTCGCTGCTTTCCTCGGTTGGCCTTTCTCTGAGCTGAGCGTGTGTTAAAGCGTTCAGCGCAGGAAGCTTGCAGAATCTTTGGACCTTGTGCCAGACCCTGCCATGAGCAGACAATCGGAAGCTCTAGAAAGATGCTAAGACACCGCAGAATACGTTTCTCGGTATTTGGGCCATTTGCGTGGTAGACTAATGCTTTGGTTAAGGATATCCAGCTTTTTTTTTTTTTGACTGACATTTGTTTGCTCTTGGTTTACTTCAGGCTATACGAAGATTTCAAAACTAACCGGGTCTATTTAATACTTTATCTTGTGAGTGCGCACGTTCAACGACAAGCAGAGGAAAAACACTGCTCAAGATTTTACCTCAAATGACATAATTAATAGCATCTCGTCGTTAATGCATTCATTCATTCAATCCCTCATTAACCAGATGCTCCTGGAACACTTGATAGGTTGCAAATGCATGGGTAACAGTGGTTGGTAAAACTAGCTAATGACATTCCTTTCACCGAACCTGGGCTCTATTAGTTCAATTGGATATGAGATTCCAAGTACTGCACAGGGGACACCTACGAACTGACATAAAGAGTGACACCTAGGTCAAGATCAGAAAAAAAATGCAGGAGATAAATGAATCAAGGCTGCTGGGTAAAGAATGGAAGTATTTCATAAGACTATGAACTTACCCAGAAGGCCATATTAGCATATAGTGTTAGAGGAAATGGAAATAATGAAACAAAAAAATTTCAAGAAAGACCTGGAATATGCTGAAAGGGAAGCATGGGAACACAGTTGCTGAGCGAGTAAAAACTGTTGTAGCTCATTGACTGAAATGCTGTTTTCTAACTATACCTGGTACTAGACTCTCTCTAGGGCTGGAGTTTTATCAGTGGGTGCATACCTGAATTCAGAAGAAAACTTTAATTAGCTGAAGCTTATTCATGGAAACTTCTTAAAGCGTCCTCTCCCCCAAATACTGTCAGTGCTTCTCTTTTCTGTAGCTCAACCCCTCTTTTACCCAACCCTGTACTTTCAAGATTTAAGAAGTAGTTGTGTTACTGGGCGAGGTGGCACACCTGTAATCCCAGCGCTCAGGAGGCACAGGCAGGTGAATCTCTGATTCTGAGGACAGCCAGGGCTACACAGAGAAACCCTGTCTCAAAAAAACAAAAAACAAAACAAAAACACAAAAACAAACAACAAAAGTAGTAGTTGTGCAAATTATCTGGAGGTAGAATTTTTAAATAGGAAAGAGAGAGGATGATTCCTGAGCTCACTGGCCATTCATTGTAGCCCAAACTGAACTCCATGTTCAGTGAGAAACTCTGCCTCAAAAAAGTAGAGAGACTCAAGAGATGGCTCAGTAGTTAAGTGCTGGGAACTGAACGCAGGACCTCTAGAACTGCCAGTGTTCTTAGCCACTGAGCAATTTCTCCAGCCCCCCAAAAAACTTTTATTTATATATGTGTGAGGGTTCTGGTGTTGTTATTGTTTTAAGATAGATGTTTACTATTTGGCTGAGGCTATCCCTGAACTTACTATGTATTCCAGACTGGACTTGAACTTGGGGTAATCCACTTGCTTCAACTTCCTGAGTGCTGGAATTACAAGCATGTACCACCATGCTCAGCTTCCAGAATGTATTTAAATGAAAAAAGTTGTAAACAAATGTATATGAGAAAACTCAGGGTAGGGGAGGAGATAAAAACCAAATTATGCATTTCTTCATCAGTTTGTATAAAATGTGCTGAAAGGGGACTGTCTTACACATTGTCAGGCTAATTAGATAAAATCAGACATACAACTCTTTCTTTTATGGCTTTTTAGGTTTGTCTCATCTTTCATGCAAAACCAACCTTTCATGACCTGACACTCCACAGACACTCCGAGCACCTTGTAGCCCAGCTTGTGGAAGTCTTCAGCATGGTTCCTAAAAGTGATGATCTCCATGGGTCACATGACAGTGAAGTTCAGTGGGTAGAAAAAGAGGACCTGTACTTCCTTCCCTCTGTAGTCCAAAAGCTTAGCTTTATTGAAGGTGCAGTCCGACATCATAGGTCTGTGAAGTCAGGTCGGCTTCCCTATATGTGATGTGTTCCTAGAGACCATGACTGCATGAGCTGGACATGCAGACTACCAGACACACACGACAGGATACGGAGAACAGAGATCTCAGATGACAACTCTTATAAAAGAAAGCATTTAATTTGGGTTTGCTTCAGTTTCAGAGGTTTAGCCAGGCGGTGGTGGCGCACGCCTTTAGTCCCAGGACTTGGGAGGCAGAGGCAGGCGAATCTCTGTGAGTTCAAGACCAGCCTGGTCTACAAGAGCTAGTTCCAGGACAGCCAATACTACACAGGGAAACTCTGCCTTGAAAAAGAAAAAACAAACAAAAAACAGTTTGAGAGGTTCAGTCCTTTATTATCATGGCAGGAAGCATGGCAGCAGGCAGGCAGACATGGTGCTGGAGAAGGAGCTGAGAGTCCTGCATCTGGATTCACAGGCAGCAGGAGGAGAGAGTCGCTGGACTTGACTTAGACTTTTGAAACCTCAAAGCCCACCCCGAGTGACATATATCCTCTAACAAGGCCACACCTACTCCAACAAGGCCACACCTCCTAAGTGTGCTAACTCCCTATGAACCTAGGAGCCTGGGGAGGGGAGCAGATAGTCTTTTTTCCTCCTTCCTTCCTTCCTTCCTTCCTTCCTTCCTTCCTTCCTTCCTTCCTTTTTTCCTATTTTGGTTTTTAAGACAGGATTTCTCCTGAAACTCACTCTAGACCAGACTGGGGCCTTGAATTCAGAGATCTGCCTACCTTCGCCTCCCAAGTGCTGGGATTAAAGGTGTGCACCACCACTGCCCATCACAGCTATTCTTAATTCAAACCACCACACTGCCCTTTTGTTAACATCTGAAAAATAATTTCCCATTATTCATGACCTCTAATCAACCATAGTACACAAAGGGCATATGAAAAATTCCAGAAATAACTCATATGTTTTATATTTAATGCCATTCTTCATAGTTTGATGAAATCTTTTATCATGCTACTCTGTCCCAGCTGGGACATAAGTCATGCCCTTTTACTGTATCCACACTGTGCGATAACACATTGCTAGTCACCTGGTAGCTCTCCATTACCAAATCAAGTCAGGTTCATGGCGCTTGTGTGTAACTTATTTTCTGTAGTAAGACCTACAAAGCACAAAAGTATGGTACTGACAGTTGGAGTGTGCCAGAGAGCAGCATACAGTTCATCCTGCAGTTGAAAAGATTGGAAGTTCTCCACTTGACAGTGAAAAACAAAGTAACTACAACAAACAAAAAACCATGTAAGACTACGATGGGCGGGATAATATGCTTTGAGAGCAAGCACATTTGTGTAACTTGCACCACAGTGTAGTTATAACTGTTATGCTTGTTATCTTTTAGAGTTTCAGATATCCACTTGGGGTTTGAGAAATTTCCCTCATGAATAGGAGGACAGTTATGATGTTCCATGGCTTGTAAAATATTCATTCTCATGCGTATTTAGGTTGCTATCAATTTCTCCTTTTACAGTGAAGCACATCTTTATATGTTTCTCTGTATTTATTAATAATTACTCACTAAATTCCCAGAGAAGAATTTATCTAATTATGTATAATTATAAGTGAGCCAGAAAGTATTAAAAAGTAAACAAGAGAACTGTGTTCTTTCCTGTCAGGTCAGTGCTGACAGTTGCTTGTGAACAGACTGAAGTTCTGCTTTTTGACCCTATTTCTTCAAAGCACATAAAAACCCTTTCTGAAGCGCATGAAGACTGTGTGAATAATATCAGGTGAGTGTGTTGACAAATAGTGAGCATTCAGTGTGACTCACAATCTGGGTCGCAAGTTAGTGAAAATACGTCATGCATTACCCAGTTGCAAAGCTTACCTTATAATTACAAATTTTACTATTAAGGATTTTTGGATTGGAACTTTTCTGCAATATATTGTTTGCTTCCATGCAATTTTTTCTTTCCTCTTTGTGTGTCAAGGTCATCACTATGAACCTTTCTATGTACTATACTACTGCATTGGTTTATCATCTCTCACAGTCATACCACACCCGTATCCAGAGTATTGAGAGAAAAAATACACGCAGGGAAAACATCCTTGGATACTAACTCCTTCCCTACTCAAGGATTTGGGAAATAAATTACAGGTGAACAGTTTGGTGGATTAATATGCATCCTTAAATGATGATTGTAAAGACTATATAACACTGTAGACAAGTGTTTGGAATTATGTAAGTTAAAGCTATACAAATTATACAAGTATGAAATGACATAGAAAATTAAAAGATTGTTCTTAACTTCTAGCAGTAGTTTAAATTGGGTAATTTACCATTAATTTTCTGTTTTCTAAACTATATGAAATGAAATTGTGTTTCGTTATTATTACTTTCAATGTTATTTAAAAAAGAAACGTGAGAATTACTTGCAGTTTAGGTAGCATACTGTGTTTGCATGGAACTCCACTGTGGCATACACGCAGAACCAGAGAATCGGCAGTACAAAGTTGCAGTTAGGTCTCAGAACAGATGTCAGCATCTCTGACCAGAGAGGACAGACCTGAAATTTGCAGAGGGGAAGCTAAGGGTCCTCAGCTTTCCCTGCAGCACGGATAACTGGTAGCTATGATCCTGTCAGTTAAGACTACAAGCACTGAGGAGTTTCGTGTAAAGAAGGACCCAGAGCCACAATCACCTCATGGAGCCAGTAGCTGAAATGTCTGTCTCAGTTATGAAAGGATGAGGAAAAGACAAAGCTGTTTTGCTCGTGGGGCTGTAGGTTTTAGCTGATAAAGACACAGCCTCATGACAGAAATTGAGTCAAGATACTTGCCAGGTTAGTGACTGAATATGTGTGTGTGTTGTTTCCAATATTACTATGAAACTGGAGCCCTGAAATATCATAAAACCTGGTGATAGACTAGGGGCCCAGGCAATTCTAAACCCTTAAATAGGAAGGGAGAGAAGAAAGTTAGCTTCTTTCACTCAAGCCTATAACTAAAATTTCAACATTCATGAAGACATCTAATATTAATACAACAAATTCAAACCATCAGAACAGGGATTTCTCTGGATGACATTAACTTTATGGAGTAAGTAGTCCAACAAAGACTTTATTTTTAAAAATAAATTTTATTTTTTTTTTGACTAGGTAATACATGCACGTGGTACAAAATTCAAAGGTACAAAAGGGTAAACAGTGAAAAGTAAGTCTGTTTCCACCTCTGTCGCCTAGCCACCCAGTTTTCCTCCCCAGAGGCAACCACTATTACTAATTTGCTTTCTTTTCTGAGATAGTTTATGCATGTGCAAGCATATAAATACATACATACACATACCCCACATATACTTTTATATAAATGGTAACATTCTACACACACTACTATATGTCTGGCCTTTTTCACGGAACATATTTAGAGATCATATTAGTATCCATGGGATGATAGTCTTTTTAACAGCTGCATAGTATTCCATTGATGGGGGAGGGGACTTTAAAACATTTTTAGGGTGCTTAAAGAGGTAAAGAATACTCTTCATTACAGAGAATGAGGAGTATAAGAGAGGCGAAAGCAGCGGGTTTATATCTTAAAGAACTGACTGGAGCACATGGAAATTAAAAATGTTGCTGTATAATTGTATTTTGATGGGGAAGGGTGTAGCTAGGGCTTCAGCTCATTGATAGGGTACTTGCTTAGCATGTGCAAGGTCCTGGGTTGGATCCCAGCAACACAAAAAGGCTTGACACTTGAAGGGGCATAGTTTCAGTTTGGGACTAGGAATGTAGCTCAGAAGTGAAGTGTGTGAGGCCCTCAGTTCAATCTCTAGCACCAAAATTAAAAATAAAAATTTGGGGCTGGTGAAGTAGCTGAATTGTGAGAGTTTGCGGTTAGCATATGTGAAGCCCTTGAATTTGATGCTACACAGAATTGGATGTAGTTGGTAGTTCAGACCCGTGATCCTAGCAGTTGAGAGGGAAGCAGGAAGACTTGGAGTGATTCAAGGTAATCTTTGGCTGTATGTTAAGTTGGAGGCCAGCCTGGGCTAAATGAGACCCTTTCTCAAATATAAAATAAATAATAACACATTTTAAAAATAGATTTAAAAACTTGGTTTAATTGATAAGATTAACTTTTTAATTGTTGATGAGTGAATTGGAAGTTGAAAAATAATTCACCCAGTACATACATAAAAAAGGATTCAAAGGAGCCTGGCGTTGGTGGCACACGCTTTTAATCCCAGCACTGGGGGTGAAGGGGGGCAGAGGCAGGTGAATCTCTGTGAGTTCGAGATCAGCCTGGTCTACCGAGAGAGTTCCAAGACAGGCTCCAAAACAATACAGAGTAACCCTGTCTCAAAACAAAACAAAAACCCCAAAAGGATTCAGAGGTATTAAAAGTTATGAGTATATAGGTAAAATACAGGATTAATTCAGAAACTACAATATCTATAAAGAATTGCAAATTCTTTATGGACATGGTGGTGCACACCTGTAGTTCCAGCATTTGGAAAACTAGAAGATCCCAAATTTGAGGCCAGTTTGTGCCTCAAGTGGCAGCCTATTTCAAAATTAGTTAATTAATAACTAATTAATTGTAAATAATAAGTTGCAGAGATTTCTGGGAAATTAACTTGATAATTTTCAGACTATTTAGTAATGAGGGAGAGCCAGTTTCTTTAGACTATGAAACGGGTTCAAGGTAAATCTGTATTTGGACAGGTTATGGTGAAAGTCTTAAATTAAATCTTAATTTAATTAGTGGGTGGGCTAGAGACATGGCTCACAGGTTAAGTGTAGAGGCTGCTCTTCCAGAGGTCCTGAGTTCAATTCCCAGCAACCACATGGTGACTCACAACCATCTAGAATGAAATTTGGTACCCTTAGCAGGCAAAACATTGTATACATAATAAACAAACAAATAAATAGATCTTTAAAAAGATCTTAAGATGTGGGAGCGGAGAGATGGCTGAGTGGTTAAGAGCACTGGCTGCTCTTCCAGAAGGCTTTCAATTCCCAGTGCCCACATCGGGGCTCATGACCCCATATAACTACAGTTTCATTGATCCCATACCCCTTTCCAGCCTCTGTGGGCTCCAGGCACACATGTGGTGTGCATACACACATGCAGGCAAACACCACACACATAAAGTTAAGTATTAAAGTATAAAAAGCTGTAAAGTTAGAAGCCAACTGCATGTGGAAGTATGATAAGTAAACTGACAAAGGGTTTCTTCTCAGCTGATAGGAGAAGAAAATGGAATTTATTTGGTAAGGCAAGGCTATGTACCACATTATGTCAGGTTAATATAATCCCTACTGAAGAATTTTAATTAGGTGAAATGTTCACTGTAACTATTAATAGTGCAGGAAATATAATTCTGAGGGTTTTTCTTTACTTTTGCATGTGATACGTTTAAAACTAAAACTAAAGCAGTAAGCTAGGTACAGTGGCAGGTGCTGGCAGTCCCCACTGTGTATGAAGCTGCAATAGAAAGATCACTTGCAGCCCAGAGTTTTGAGCACAGAAACCCTCATCTACAAACAGATAAGCAGTGCTAGAGATATAGCCCAGTGCCAGTGCTCACCTAGTACCTCTCATGGGGAAGGCCCTGGGTTTGATTCTCAGCATTGCATTGCAAAACGACAAAAGAACAAAACAGTTAAGACCTGTAGATAAGCACTGTCCAGTAGAAATGTAATGCTGACCACATGTGTAATTTTTTTAGTGAGTATATTACTAAATAAAGAAGCAATATTAATTTTAACATATTTACCCCAATATTTCCCAAATACTATAATTTCAGCATATAATCAGTACAAAATTCTTGAGATATTTTACTTTCAGTTTCTAATGTTGTTTTCAAAATCCAGTGTGTATCTTATACTTAGAACATGTCTCAGTTCACACTGTTCGTATAGCAAGTGTTTGAAAGCAAATGGGGCTTTTATAGGTACTACATTTGACAATGTGGCTTTATACAGTGGCAACAATAGGTTAATGTGGGAAAGTTTTGTAGTGTGGGATGGTACAATATAAGACCTACATCATGTTTAGGAAGAAGACAGATATTAAGCAATTTCAGACATTTTTAGATTAGTGCATAATTAATATGTGCATTAAAAACACTTAAAGATTAATATTTAAAACATTAAAATACAATTTATAGCTTTTAGACCACCAGAAAGGGAGGACATGTGGCCAGTTCAGTCAAAGTAGGAAAGCTTAAATTTTTCTTAAATTTAAAGCAAAGGAAGGATAAGAAATAGAAGTTCAAAATATAGATCATTCACAGAAAACATACATAGGTCACTGTTAATTAAAAGACAGCCTGGAGCTGGGTCTGGTGCACGCCTTTAATCCCAGCACTTGGAAGGTAGAGGCAGGAGGACCTCTGTGAGAGCTAGGACAGCCTGGTCTATATGATGAGTTCCAGGATAGCCAGGGCTACACAGTGAGACTGCCTCAAAAACACATAACAATAACAACAACAAAAATCCAAATGAACAATCTGCAATTTGATAGCAAAATGACTAATGTATATGATTTATATATGTATGAGATCTGGTGCCCTCTTCTGGCCTACAGGGAGACATGCAGACATAACATTGTATACATAATAAATAAATCTTAAAAAATAATACAGGGTTTAATGAATAGGAAAAAAGGGAACTCTTGGACCACATAAGAAGTAGAAGCAGGAACACTGAGAAGTAAACAGGCTTCAGCTTCTACCCTGTAAGACCTGCCAAGTGCTAGTGACCCTGAGCTTTTGTTTTGGTAGAAA